CAACTGAAAGTTGTTTATGCTTTATAACATTAACAGTTTCCCTTTCTTGTTTTCTGAATAAAGGTTATGTGTTATTGGATTAGCTTCTGGTCATGTGGCCTTTAAGGATGAAGGAGGAGTCACTTTTGTGGATTTCAATGTTGGAAAATCCAACAGAAGTGAGATCTAGGTCACAGGGAAGCACAAAAGTGTACATCCATCATTCAACCTTTTCTTAATTCTTTTTTCTATATAAGATTTTTCTTAAATCTACTATTTTGGTTTCTTTTTTTGGAGAATGCACAACATTTCTAGTCCAATACAACCTTATGTAAAGTATGCACCAACAATGGTTTCTTTGGTTCGTTGGATATATTCTTTGATAATACAAATTCTTTAAGAATATTCAAAACCATTCTGCAAGAATAGTTTATTCTGTAAGAATATTATTGTTGCATTCTAATAAATTGTAGTTAATTAGTGATATGTTTAATGTCCAGTTGTTACAAGTGTATCACTACAAAATATTTGGCATTGAATTTGTGATAGAAATGGCTTGAAGAATGGCTTGAATACCTAATGGGAAAGGTTCCTTGTATAAAATCATTCCCATGCAATACAATTATGACAGAATGTCAATCTCATAGAATGCTAGCATAGTTTGAAGTGGCTTAGAGGTCAAACATACACAAAACATCTAGAAACGAAACAAGAAAGAGAATGAGGATTCTTTCAAAAATGCTGATATTTTTTTTTTTTTGCAAGAGATTTCAAGAATGAATGCAGTTTATGTTCGTAGTTGTATTGTTTAAGAATGAGGGGGTGTTTGGCTTAGCTTTTCATAGCCCAAAAGTCCTTTTTGGAAAAGTTACAAAAAGTCAGGATTTTCTGACTTTTCCAAAAAGTTCATTTTCTTTGTATAAAAACTCCAAAAGTAGCTTTTAAAACTAGTTTTGCCAAACATCTTTTGCTTTTTTTCTTTTCCAAAAAGAACATTTGGGCTATGAAAAGCTAAGCCAAACACCCCCTGAATGTAATTACTTATTCTAAACTATTAAACTTCGGCTTATATAAAATTTGTATTCATTAAAAATTATCGGTATTGATAATATGTGTTTATAATATTATGTTCATAGTTGTATACCATTCTGACAGAATTACAGAATATCATTCTAACAAAATAATATTTTGATATAATAAAATCGGTTTATGTTTACAAATTACGTTTGAAATTGATTTAATTTGAAAAAAAAAATCAGATTTTTTAAATCAAAATCATTTATTATCCCATAAATCTTGATTTTTCATTTTTTAAATTTGTCTCAGTTGACTAAAATGTCTTTATGCTAAAATTTATGTGATTATATGGTACATGTTACCCTATTGTACTATCATAGACCCTCAGATCATGATATTTGATTTTATTCCATCCGATGGTCCAGATCAGTGCATTATATATATATATATATATATATATATATATATATATATATATATATATATATATATATATATATATATATATATATATATATAGGTAAAGGTTCAAATGAGAACCAAAAAAGATTAAGAACCTAAGAACCAACTAATTAAATTTAACCCACTTTTTACATAATACTCGTTATATTCAAAATTAGATCTAGACTTGGATTTGGTTTCTCTCTCTCTCTCTCTCTCTCTCTCTCTCTTACCTTCTACCGCTGCCGACCACCACCACCAATGCTGGTACCACCGCCGACACCGTCATCGTTGCCGGAATACAACAATCTTCAGATTTGGAGCTGCTGCCTTCAGATCTGGTGCATTCGCCTTCATATCTACAACCCCCGACTTTAGATCTGCCATCACCACCGAGCGTCGCCTCCAGATGTCCGACCACCTCTAGATAAATTCAGATCTCATGTAGATTTGAGAATTTGGTGTTATTATAAAAATGTTTTGTTCCAAAACTCTTGAACTTATTATTTTCTCTGAAATGTTCCATCACTGGCGAAAATGTTTGTCAAATTTGTACCAGATCTGTTATGTGTCACCTTTTTCCCATGTATAACTCATTTTCGTCTTTGTCTCTCTTATTTTTGGTCAAAATACCACTAAATCGACATCTGATCTGATGTTTTTGTCAATTTTCAGGTTAGATCTGGTGTGTGTGTATGGTGTTTACATTGATGGTGTTTATGAAAGGAAGTTCTGGAGAAAAAAAAAAAAAAAAAAAAAAAAAAAAAAAAAAAGATGCACACAAGGTGTTTGATGAAATGCCTCAATGAAATTTGGTAAGTTATTAAGCTGTTAATTAAGTCATGAATGCATATTTTTTGTATATTGAAGTATGAAGTTTGTGTATTTAGCTATAATATTTGTGTTTAAAATTGCGAATTGAATGCATTAAGCTGTGAATTTGTTGTTTAAACTGTAAATTTACTATATTAAGTTGTGATTTTTGTATATTTAACTATGAATTAATTGTATTAAACTGTGAATTGATTGTATTAAATATTTTAGTTAAAAATATGCTTTTGAATGCATATTTTTTTAGGTATTAAATAGTGAATTTTCTATATTTAACTATCAATTAAAAGTTCTAAGTTGATATTATGTTTTTCTACTTGTATTTGTGGTAGATCTCTACTATATTTTGGTTTTTTTTTTCTTTTTGTTTTTTTTTTCTGTTAATGTGTGAATTTGATATTTTAATCTCACATTTGTCATATAATTTTGTTAATCTTAGTTTTAACTGCTATTAACTTGTGAATGTATAATTTTATTTGAATTAAACTTTAAATTTATTATATTAGTTTGTGAATTTTATATATTAAATTATGTATTAATTGTAATAAGTGTTTTAAGTTGATAATATGGATGTGAATACTACTTTTTGTATATTAAAATGTGAATTTAGTCTACTAAGCTGTCATTTTTGTGTTTTAAACTGTGAATTGATTACATTAAGCTTTGAATTTTCTTTTTAAACTACGAATTGACTGTATTAAGCTGTGAATTTTCTGTTTGAACTGTAAATTGACTAGATTAAGTTGTGAATTATGTGTATGAAACTATGAAGTTACTTGTATTAAGCTATGAATTTTGTGTATAAACTTTGTATTGACTATATAAAGAGTGTTAAGCTGAAAATATGGTTATGAATGCATACTTTTTGTGACTTTGAATTTTGTGTATTAAACTATGACTTTTGTGTTTTAAACTGTGAATTTACTGCATTAAACTGTATAGTTTCTTCCTAGACTATGAATTAACTATATTAAGTTGTAAATTTTGTGTATTAAATTATAAGTTGATTGTATAAAGTTGTAAATGAATTGACATTAAGCTGTTATTATTTTATAATTTTTTTTGTTTGCTTTTGAAATAATGTAAATTTTATTCACGGCTTGATATATTAAATTCACAATTTAAAATATGAATGATTTATGTATAAAATTTTTTGTTAATTTTTTTTTAATATATTTATTTGTTGTGTTGTATAAGTATATAAGACTACATTAGTTTTAATAATAATTTTGCATTAAATTCAAAATGAGTGAAATAAATGGTTTTATTAGACTGTGAATGCAGTATTTATGTTATTAATGTATGACTTTGTTTACAGATCTAATTTAAAAGAAAATAATGGTTACGATGTTTGTATAGGTGGTTAGTAACAGCGCGTGGTGATGGTAGTAGTAGGGTTTGAAATTTTGATTTCTTTAAGTTTGTGAATTAGTATAAAATGGTTTGTATTAAATTGTGAATTTTGTGAATTAGATTACGAATGAACTGTATAAACTTATAATTTATATAAGTTTTGTGTTCAAATACGATAGCATATAAAAATGAAAATATTATACTGCAAAAATTACAATTTTGCTCTTTTTGTATCGAAAAGAGAGAGAGAAAAAAAAAGATTTTCACACGTTTAACAAGAATATCATGTAAATATTTATTAACTAATAGGATTCTTAGGTTGTTAATCTTTATGGTTCTCATTTGAACCACTTTATATATATATATATATATATATATATATATATATATATATATATATATATATATATATATATATATGAAAAAAGAAAAACAAACAAAAGTTTCTGGCTTTAACCCGGGTGGTTAAGGGTTTGTTTTGGTAGAGGGAGGTCTTGACTTTAGTCCCCCTGCCTCTCTTTGCTCTTAATTAAACCCTTTTTATATGGGTAAGGAAATGAGCTAACTAACATTATATCCAAGTGTTAAGGATAAATTGCTAGAAGTTCTAGCGTAACTGGCAAGGGGCGCGTGTTTCATGAATGTGAGGTCCTGAGTTTGAACGTCTGTCGTCCTCTCCTCTTTTCTCCCACAAAAACTGATTTTTTTAAAGCTAATGTATTGGACCGACATTAAATGACACATCAACTGCCACGCCAACATCCTTCCAACTTTGCATGCCACATAGGCGATTACCACGTCTCCTCCTCGTCTCTTGGGTTTTTTCTATTCAAAAAAAAAAATGAAAATTGGAACTTAATCGTTAATTTTTACAAAATTTTAGAATTTTTCTAGAGATTTCTCAAAAATAAAAAGTGACTATGATAAAAATGAAAAACATGATTACTTTACAGCCCGTCATGCTATTGACGTTCAATAATAAGGCCATATCTTGTTATGTGCATTTATAACTCGTCAATCAATCAAACAAGACTTTGGTTTTTCAGTTTTATAGTTTTCACTAAGCATTTGCAATCCATACATAATCATAATCATCAACTTCACAGCTATTGGTGATACTAAATCAAGCTTCCCCCAATATCTCTATCAACTGGAAAGAGTGCAATAAGCTGGCTTGCGTCTGAATAAACAATTTCCTCATGCATACACAGTAATCCTTAACATGTGTAGTTGACAACAACAAATTAAGTCCATACCTTCACCCCTTTCAAATTCATTGAAGATGATGTCTGATACTGATACATACATTGAAGACAAAACTCCACAAATTGTGAAATCGATTTTTTTGAGGATAGCCTTGCTTTGTTGGAGGCTTGTTTTTAATTGGCATGATCCAACTTTTCCTGATAGAATTTGAGAGCATTTGAAGCTTCTGGCTCATATCTTTTCAATCTCTCGATGAATGCATTCTCAGTACCTTTCAACCACCAACCAATACCACAGTAATTTTTATCATTCATCAATCCATTGTCCAAACAATATTGGTAAACCAAACATCTCGGGATAATCCTTTTCTCCATACTCAATGAAACAAGAACAGAATTCTTTGCAATAAGTGATGTCTCAAACCCCATCTTGCTAACAAGAAACTCCATCACTTTATCGATTTTCTCCTCCGACATCATCAAACACACTGGACTACTCCTAAAGGCTACCAAGATCTGGGCTTTAGACCAACCCCATTTCTCATAAACCTCCATCTTCTTCTCCCTTGTGGACTTGCTCATTGACATAAGTGTGTGAATCCCTAACACAAAAGCTGTTTTCAAAGGATCAAAACCCATCTCCACTATTTCCTCCACCACCTTTTTGAACTGCTCTGTAGTAGCTAAAAAGTTTCTAGGCTGGTAATTCAATAGATGAAATATTTTGGATCCAGGCACCCCAACATCATGCAACATTTGCATATTTGGAATCATATTTGCTTGGAAATCCGCATCCAAGACCAAGGCACACTTTCTGATTGCACGAAGTGTTGTATCGTTGCATTGAAGCAAGTTTCTAAGTGAACTATAGGTAGGTTCTATGTAATTCTTCAAGTTTTTACCTAGTAAGTTGGGTATTCCGTTTAATAACTTAATAATATCAGATTCCGAAAGTCCTATAGAACCTAAGAACTCGAATTTAGGCAAAAGATTTTTTTCGGGATGACATGTGAGAGCCGTAGGGTTCTTTCGGAGTAATTGAGAAATCTGGGTTTCTGTAAACCCCTGATTCTTGAGAAGTGCTATCACGGAGTCTGCTCGATCTGGGGTTTTGAACTTTAAGTATTTGGAAGCTGAAATTGCCTTGTCTGTAGGGAATCCGCATGAGTGTATGAGGTAAGAAACTCTGAACGAGTTATCTGAAGCTGCTGGTGACGAAGAGGATGAGCGAGGAAACAGTCTATGAACCGATGTTGTTTTGAACAAAGAAAATGTTAAGTTTCTGCGGGCGAGATTCAACATTGTGGATAGAAATCGTAAAGATAATGAAATCACTGACCTGTGGATTTAGGGTATGCGATTTGAGGTTTCGGATTTTGTGATAAAATCTGTAAAATCGATTTTCACCTGGAGAACCCTAACACCCCCGCTCCAGAGTTCAACGAATCCGAGGTTATAAAACAAAACCCCTGGTTAATGAACATCTCTAGCTAGAAGAAGGGTTTTTCAACTTCACTTTTAAATCCCCTTAACCAAAAGATTGAAAATTCCAAATACCCTAAACTACCTAATTACTTTGACGAAAATAGCTAATAAAAACAAAAATTACAATTCTGGCCATTAAATCGCAGATGGAATAAAATTATCTGCGATTTCAACAAGCCACTTGCGAATGTACAAGTGATTAAAGTTCAGATATGCTTTAACCACTTGTACATTTGTATATGGTTTTTTCTGTATATATACCTTGTTTTTCAGTCTAAAATCACATGTCCATCTGCGATTTCGTCTTGTTTTCATCTGCGATTTGAGGCTTTTTTTTAATATTTTATTTTTTACTACAAAATTGATGGGTTTAACTATGAAATAACCTTATTATATATAAAATTTTGTAAAAAATTATCAGTTTCATTGTTATTTCTTTAGAAAATTTGTTTAAAACTTCTCTAAAAAAATGATTGACTATTTGGTTTTCCTTGTAACTGGTGGGAGATGGCAAGTTGTAACATCCCTTTTAAAATAGAATGAATACTAGCGCTAAAAGCCATAATAATTAGTAAGGTGTTGGTTTTGGTGAGCCAAATGTTATAAGTTGGATTATCCGGGGGTTAAAAGTGTAAGTTTTGGGATTTATTTTGTGAAGATTGTTAGAAGACAAGGGGTGTTTGGTATCATTTGGACCTAATATGAAAGGATTTACGGAAGCAATGGTTAAAGAGTAAATTCTGGACCTAAGTTGAAAAGGTTTTCTTGAGGGAGGGGCTGCATGGTAATTATTGGGACTTAAGTTGAAGGATTTTGTTAAAAAGGTCAATTTCAAACTTAAATTGTAAGGATTTTCTGAAGGAGGGGTTTAAAGGGTAAATATGGGGTTTATTTCGAAACAATTTATGGAGGGACGGGCTAAACTTGTCATTATGGAAGTAAGTTTGGGGGATCAAGGTATATAACTCGTCACCCCTTCTGCTTCAAACCCTAACCCTAAATGAAGCTACAGTTGTCATCTCTCCACCCTTATGTCTCCCACCAACCGCCACCTTCCCTTTTTCTATTTTTCGGCGCTGTCACCACTATGTCGAGGTCGCAAGCCACCGAGCCAAGTGTCGTCGTCTCCATTTCCGTTGTGGCTGAGGATGAAGACCGGCGGAGGACATTGTTCCATCGGGACGTGAAGAGGGACAAGTCACAACCACCATGTCGTTGTGGTTGCTGCTGCTGGAAGACGCATTTATCGCCGCACACCATGACGTTCCTTGCCGGAAAAACGAGGCGTAGAGGAGTCGTTGCCCTTGATTGAAGTTTGTTGCCACCATTTCTTCTTCTTCTTCTTCTCTTCTTTCCGCTAGCCCCGCTTGCTGCTAAACACCAGATTGCCGCCGTAGAGCCGTTGTTACTGTCGTATTTTCTTCTCCTCCTCCGTGAAGATATAACAGTTATCATCGCAAACCGTCATCTGTTGCCCTTTCGTCGCCACCAGCCACCATGTAAGCTGGTTGTGTGTGTGTATTTTACTATGTGTTTAGGTATGTGTGTGGTTGTATTTTTCCATGGTTAGTGTGTGTCGTGCGTGTTTTATCTATCAGGAAAATCATGAAAGTCGCCGCTACCATCATGAGGTGGTAGTTGCCGCCATGTACCACCGTCGGCCACCACAAGGGTGGTTGTGTGAGTGTGTGTTTATCATTAGTATGTATGTATTAATTTTAGAGTATTGCATTGTAAAATTGTAATTGGTGATGAAATAATAAAAAGAAACTCATGACCACCAACGTGAGTCGTTGTTGACCACCCCTACCCGAGGTGGTAGTGGGTGGTGCCCGATTAATGAAACCCTAATGGGCCTAATGAACCCTAATTGATCAAAAGACCTAGCTATTAGGCCTATTGGGCTATGATTGGGTTGGAAACCTAATTCGGGTTTAGAAAACCCTAATTTTGGATATATGGGCCTTGGACTTATCGGGACCTACATTTGGGTCATTGGAATGGAATTGTGAATTACACCCGATCACACCATATGATTTATCTAGTAGAGTGATGGACTTAATGGATTAAGTCCTTAATGGGTTAAGTGAAAAACACCTAACCCTAATTATCATTTTATGTGAAAACCCTAATTTCACTTGGGCCTTGAGTTGAACCTTTCTATTATGCTTTGGTGATTGGGCTATTAATGGGCCATCTAAAATCAAACATATGGACTAGAATAATTTAATCGATTGTAAGGTAAGGCCCATGTAAGGGGTTTGGGCCTAATTTTGAAAATTAGGCCATAGATGGGCCATAACTACGCCTTGATGATTCTGAGATATTGGGTCATTGGTATATGAATAGTTTGGATTAAAATTAATGTATGGGGCTTAAGGAAAGACCATGCAGAGGTCTGGGCCCAATGGAAAATTGGGCAATATGTTGGGCTTTGGCCCATTACTTGATTATTGGGCCTTTGGAATGTGAGTTGGACCTTGGGCTTGGAACCTAATTATTTATTGGGTATTTTTTGATGTTGGCAGTTCGGGAATCTGTCAACCAGCAGGTGGAGTTTCTTCTGCAGGACTTCAACAGTGTCAGGTGAGTTATCCTCACTATACTAAGGGGTCGAAGGAACCAATGATGGCCCGTTAGATATGATATCCTAGTAGTTGTATTATGTTAAGTACGAGTTAGTTATGTATGTTAGTTGTGTTAGATTAGGTGTCTAAGCACATAACTATTTTTGGTATGTACTTGATTTGATTATGAGCATGGTCCTTTTGGGTTGCCTTCACTCATGTAACTTGATAGGATGACAAGTGATGAAAGAGAGAGAGAGAGAGAGAGAGAGAGAGAGAGTAGGATTTGTTATATGAATAATAAATTGGTACTCAGGATGATTTTATTAATATATTATTTGGAAATCATATTATTAATTAGTAATTAATCAGAAGTTAATCTAGTATTAATTTTAGGATTAAAGGAACTGATTAATAATGAAGGGACTGATTATGTAAATCAATAATAGTTGTAGCTTGGGCTTATGGACACCGTTGGTATAGGGTGGACGAAATCTCTATGAAAGTCCATAAATATTTCATCCAAGGCTTGCCAAATAGGAGTCCATATGTTGCTTAGGGCCTAAGTAAGGGAATTAAGGTTTCCAAGTAGTAAACCCTAAGAGCCTCAACTATATAAACCCTCCTAACATAAGGATTTTCGGCCCCTATGAGTTTTGTGAGAAACCCTAGCCGTTTTCCTTCCCTCTCCAAGTCTTTCTTTGCATTGAGTGTTTGTGACTCCATTAGAGGTGCAACACTTGAGGCATTAAGCTTTCAAAGGTCAAAGAGTTCTTGTTATTGCTACATAACAAGTAAGGTAAGGTATCTAACCCTAATCATATATGATTTTCGAAATTAGTATCCTAGGTATTAGGGTTTATGCTTTAGATGATTATTTGCATGTATAACTTGAGAAAAACTTAGATCCAAAGCATTAGGGTTGCATGTACACCATAGGAATATTGTAGTGATCAAAACCATCAATAGTATCAGAGTCTAGGTCGTTTTTCTGTTATATGTGATGCTAATGTGAATTGTTCAAAGTTGGAAAATTTTCGTTTTTTCTTTCTGCCTGATCACAACGAGGTGGTGGGCCATCATGAGGTGGTAAAAGTCACTACGACGTGGTGTCAGGTCAAATGGCAGATTTCTCGGATTTTTGGCTTTAATTAGGTTAGGATAATTACCATAAGTTGTTTAATTAACTAAAATCGTTTTTTCTAATATGGTAATAAATATCCTCATCTAATTGAAGGATAATTGTCAAATTTTAAGATAATTACAAGATTATATGATATATTAGTTATTTGGAAAATTTAATTTGAATTATCTTGCCATAATAAAAGGGTTAGGTCAAATTTTTAATAAAGATAAAATTATATAATTAATTTAAATTATTTTAATTTTGATCTAGAAGTTTTGAAAAATTTCAAATTTTGCCCTCAAGTTTTGAAATTTAAAATTTGATTAAAATGTTTTAATTTTGAAATATTAAATTCTTAAACCCTAGTAATTTGAAAAGTTTCAAAAATGCACATCTTGGTTTTGTAATTTGAAATTTAATTAAATACCTTTAATTTTGAAATTTTAAATTTAGAACTTTGATAGTTTGAATAGTTCAAATTACACTCATAGTATATATAAAATTAAAAGTCTAATATATTATATATCTATAAGTAAAACGTCAGTCTTACCGTTAGTATGTCTTATTCACAAAATTGGTTTATAAAGGGTGTTTAAGGAAGCAGTCTGTAAAACGACCGTCATTAGGTATCCACTTTTACCCACCACACCCTTGACTAGTGGAGGGTCGTTAACCGAACGGGTATGATAGGACACAAACTTCTATTATACAAATAAACCCCCTTGTATCTATATCACTTGTATATACAAGTAAACCCCCTTGTATCTATGAAACATGATGGACCTTTAACCTTTTAAAGACAATTAATAATGCATAGAATTTTGTCATGTTTCATAGTAAATAATAATGCTTAGAATTTTGTTCGTCTTATATATTGAGTTGAAACTAAAAATAAAAGCAAAAACTAAATAAATATCAAACTATCAATGAAAAAGGCAGTTATGTCTTAATATATTAAAGACAAAACTGCAAGATTCGTCCATATGTTGTTTAAAAAACTTTGGATATGATCTAAAAAGTTTACAACTTACATGTAAGGTGCAAAACCAAGGTTTTTTTTTATGTTTTTGGTCCCTTATACACTTGAAAAGTTGATTTTACCCTTTTCATTTCTTTTTTTTATTTTCTTTATTTATTTTAGCATTTAAATAATAAAAAATAAAAAATAAAACAAACAAGGCTAAACGATGAAGATTGGAACTAAATTCAACACAAACACACAAAAACGTCAAATTATTTTCCCATAGTTAATCTATTTAATTAAGATTTAAAATAACACATAAACCTTAGATTTTTCATAGCTAATCTTGTGTTCATCTCATAACTAAGCTACAAATGCCATAAATTAGGGGAAAGAAATTGATATTTTGCCTTAAAACACAAACCGACACATACACTCCAGAAATCGATATATTGCTTTCAAACTTCGTTTTGTCTTCAAATCTCTCGACATATATGACGAGGTAGATAGACAGATTTGCGGAGCTACGGTTTGCAGGGTAGTCTTCATCGGTGTGTGTAAACCGACAATGTAGATCTGAGAAAGGGATGATCTAGGGTTTGCATCGATTATACTTCTTCTCCGGCATCGAACTTTTTCGATGTTAGGGTTTCATAAAGAGGTGGTAGTCCGATTGTAAGAGCAGGGATGTGTATAATAATGGTATTGATGGTTTTGCTACTTCATCCTTGTTTCAAATCTCTATCTCCTCCGATCAAAAAATGAAGTTTGAGTTGATGAACCTTGTTGCAGGAAACCTCGTCTTGATTTGAAAGAGAAATGGGTTATTGACAAAATCAAAGTTAGTGACGGTCGTCTTCATCAACAACACCAACCACCACCACACCTTTTGTGAATCATATTTCGAGATCAGGTCATGTTCTTCAAGAATCCATACAAATCCACACACATCTAGTCTCAAGCGATTCAAAGATAAAGGGATAAAAAGAATATGATCGGTGTATGATGTACCTTCATTCTCTTAGTTGTTAGTATTAGATAAAGAAAAGATGGGGCTTCAAGTACGATACGTTTATGAGAGCTAAAGAGATGGAGTAGATGACAACAGGGGAAGAAGAAAAATGTGGGTGAGGGTGTAGGTGTTTTTTCTCTGATGCGTAGAGAGAGAGAGAGAGAGAGAGAGAGAGATTTTATTTTTTGTTTCTTGTTTTTAATAATTTAAATACCAAAATAAACAAAGGAAAAAAAATGAAAGGGGTGAAATCGACTTTTCAAGTGTATCAGGAACCAAAAACACAGAAAAACCTTGATTTTAGACCTTTAATGCAAGTTGGAAACTTTTTGGACGTTATCCAAAGTTTTTTGAATACCACAATGACCAACTTTGCAATTTTGTCTATATTAAAGACTAAATTTGCTCCTCTAATATTTGGTCCAAGAACAAATTAGTAAATTTTTAAAAATTATCAGCAAAATATTTAGATTTATAACTTAGGTACCAACAAGCAACAAAATGAAACTATAAAGATTGCTCATGTAAAGAAATGAAAAGTTGAAGAAAAAATGTTACTTTTTGTAAAGAGCAGGATCCATTTTTGTAGAAAATAGACCCATCTAGTCCTTATATTCCCTATTCTCTCCTTGCATTCCTCCTTGAAGAACTTTCCTTCAATGTTTATTAATTGGTTGATTGAACCCAGTGATTGCCACTCTTTGTTATACCATTTACATAATCTTTTATCTTCATAGTTATTCAAAACGACAACTTTGCAATAGCTTTTCAGGGAAATATCAAGGAACC